AGTTATAAAGAAAAAGAATCTCCCAAATGATATTTAAATTCTATGATACGGGAGTGTAGACAAACAGTGTCCCTCAACATTCTTGATGAAGTTAAACCCAGTTGATCTAACCCAAGGAACATGAGATGAATACTCAGATGGAAGAAATTCCAGAAGCATAGGGATCTTTGGAGGTGAACAGTTAGCTCTATGTGGTAGCAGAGAAGGCGTGATGGTGGAGAATATACGAATTCTCAGGAGTCGATAGAAAGTCTTTCTACTCATTCATATTAGAGAAATCACAAAACACTGGAAGTGGGAGAACCCTTGATCAAATGAAATACAGATGGAAAAACAGACCTAGGCGCAGTTAAGACTTGTCTAAGGACAAGAAAATGGTGAATGAGAGGAAATGGTGATATGACAATGTATTTCCCATAGCTTTTTAGACTTTAGAGGAAGTTCAATTTTTTATCCATGAACTTTGTCCAGGATCACAAATGATTAAGAAAGATCCAACAAAGAGTAAAAGGAGAAAACTGGTAACATACTATTATAAATTAATATACGGAAAAAGGGGTAATTTTAAATGTATTTAACAATCACAGTCACTAACCAGCATCAAGTTGGTTCTGACTCATAGTAACTCTGTTACCAGACAACAAGACATCCTTTCTGCAGTTGCAAAACCTTATATATGACTTACATGGAATTACTTTTATCCATACACTTTATTTGAGAATCTGAAATACAGTGAAATAATTCTCCAAGACTATTTCCCAGGTGGTTGTGGATTACATACTTCAATCAGTTATTAGCATATTGTTATCCCAAGTTCAAAGTCACAAGGCCTTCTCATTTAGAGAGAAACTTCTCAGTAAACAAGCAATTTAAGTCTATTTATAAAGCATTGCTAATTTAGGAAATGCAGCTCAGCATGGGTTTCTGCCTTAATTTCAAACAATGAAGTTCACCTAGGTTATGAGATTGTAATCTAAGGCTGGGGGCGATTTTGGTCCTGCCCAGAGCCATTTACATTAGCTCAGATAATTTGCATGACTATAGACTGTGTCAAATAAGATAATGGTTACCCATGGGGGACAGTGTTTGGTAGAGCTCCCCATTAAAACAAGCTTGGAAGCAGGAGTGGCACCCACTTCCAAAACAGCTTGCCTCCAGAAACTCTATGAACTTGAAGAATCAGTGAAAGTTATGCAAGTGTTCATTCAGGTCTTTCTGTTCATAGGGTTGCTATGAGTTATCTAGACTTGATGGCACTTAACAACAACAACATAGAGTAGTTAAATAGGGTCTGAGGACAAACAAATGCTAATCAGAGAAATTAACCATTAGCAAGAGCTAAGATGTAAAACAACAGGATGCTAGAAATGAAGCTAGTTTCAGCTTCATTAACCTCTGTGCTATAATTTTAAAGAACAATTCTGAATATAGTAAGCTAAAGCTGCCCTTCAACTCTTCATTGGGTTTTGAAGGCTGTAAATTCTACCAGGAAAATATTTGTCAAAATTATGGATATACGATCAAATTATAGGTGGTGAAGAGATTGAGATTGTTAACAGCTACAGCTTGCTTGGCTCCACAAGCAACACTTCTGGTATCAGCAGCTAAGAAATCAAAAGATAAACTGTACTGGGAAAAATCTACTGTCAGGGGCCTATCCAGAGTACTGAAGAACAACCATGCCAATGTAGAGATTAAGGTGCACCTGATCCAGGGCATGGTCTTTGCAAATACTTGCATTGCATATAGAAAGTTGGACAATGACTAAGGATGGCAGAAGAAGAATTGATGCCTTTGAGTCATAGTGCCAGAGAAGAGTATTGAATATGCCACGGACTGCTAAGAGAACAAACACATTTGTCTTGGAGATGATGAAACCAGGCTGCAACTTGGAGGCAAGGATTTTTTTATTTTATTTTAAACTAATTTATTTACAAAGTTTGAATACATTGTTTTTTACAAAAGACCCTTTCTATTTCCTTCACACTACCCACCCATTGAATTGTGCAATCTTATGATTAACACCCCACTGTTTGGGCATGTTGCAAGAGTGGGCCAGTCATTTGAAAGGGACATCATGCTTGGAAGGGTGGAGGGACAGTGTAAGAGAGGAAGACCCTGTATGAGATGGATTGACTCAGTGACTGAGGTAATGCCAGTAGGTGTGTTAGAGACAATCAGATAGGCTTAAGATAAAGCAGGTTTCAGAGCTGTTGTACATAGCTACTCAAAGGTGCATAACAACAATTAAAGAAAAACGTTTTAAAAATCTGACAATATAAAATGGCAGGATGTAGTGAGTGGGAAAATATGTGAGAGAAGAGATGGAAGGAATTTAAATGTACTAGTTTCCACATCTTTTACATCATTTAATGTGAAAATGGTCGATTAAACCTTACAAATTATTTAACAGGTATAAGTACAAAATCAGTATAAAAGAAGCAAATACAATCAAATATATATCATGAAGAAGGAAAAAAAGAAATGAGGAGATAAAAGGAATTACATGAACTTTATCATTAGTCCATAGAGAGCTGTACCGCAAACACAAAGACAGCCTCTCTCTGCCAGTGTGAATCCACCAGGAACTGAGCAGGAGGGTGAGCAGCCTCCTCCTAAAACCTGCTGGAAGGTCCGCTGTGAGTTAGCTCTGACTCCAGACAACAAGTAGTGTTATAGGGAGTCACTGCACATTGTCTAAGGACATAGTTTAGGAACTATTCTCATTACAAAGGCCAATCTAGAGTGATTCCTCAAAAATAGGACCAAACTTAATTATTACAATAGAATTGAATGGGTTAATTGCATCTACATAAAATAAGAAAGGGTTTCAGATTGCAAGGAAAAACCAAATTCTGATCCCAGACTAAATAACTGAAACATAGTTATTCAGAAAGTTAAAACTCTAAAGGAAATGCCAGTCAACACTAAAAAAAAAAAAAAAAAAATTAAAACTTCACCACTGGACAAATAGGCAATGTTGTTGTTATGTACCTTCCAGTGGGTTTTCACAGGCTATAAATCACGAAGGAGGAGATTGCCTATCTTTTCCCCTCAGAGCAACTGGTGGATTTGAACCATGTGTCTTTGAGTTAGAAGTGCAACTCTTCTACCCACTTTTATGTCATGAAAGACCTGCTGCATTGGGAAAAATCTGCTCCCAAGGACCTTCTAATGTGCTAGGGAGCAAGGATGTCAGTTTTCAAACTAAAGTATGCCTGTTCCAAACTACAGTATTTTCAATCATTGCCTGTGTGTGTGGGGTGTGTGTGTGTGTGTGTGTGTTGGGTACTCTCGTCAAGTCAACCCATCCATAGCTGACCCTCCCGCTGGTTTTCAGAGGCACTTAATCACAAGGGAGGTGATTGCCCATCCTATAACGATGACCCAAGAAGAACTGATGTCTTTGAAGTGTGGTGTTGGCAAAGATTATAGAGTATCTTGTGGAACGCCAAAAGAACATTTTATCTTAAAGGAAGCACAATCAGGGTGTTCCTTAGAAGCAAGGATGGTGAAGCTTTTTCTTGCATACTTTGGACATGGTCTCAAAAGGAGTCAGTCCTTAGAAAAAGACACCACGCTGGGAAAGGAGGAGGGTCAAAGAAAGAGAGGAAGATTCTTATCAAGATGGATTGACAAAAATACTGTTAGTAATGGGCTAGAGCTTGTTGGAGATGGTGAGAATGGTACAGGATCCAGCAAGGTTCAGATCTGTTGTTCGGAGGGTTGCTATGACTTACGATCATCCCCATACACTTTGTTTTATAAAATTAATTAGCATTGATCTATTTTCTATGTTGAGCCTATTATCCTATGGGATTCTTACATCGTAATAAAGGGTAAAGAGTGATTTTTTTTAATGGATAAAATAAAGTAGAATAAAATAAAGCTCAGCACTGCAATCTGATCTAGAGGGAATCTGACGTCCTAACCAGAAGGAACTTTGTAGAGAAAAATCTAGGGTCCTTCAGTAACCAACTGCTCTCCCCCCTAGGTCATTACCACCTGTGTCTACAGGGCTTCCAAATTTTCATCATTAGCCAAAAGGTAATAACGAACTATGACAGATTTGGAAGCAGGAGTGACATCCACTTCCTAAAAAACATGCCTCTGTAAACTCTATGAATGTTGATAAGTGTCGATAGTTATAGAAAGGCTTCAAGCCTTTTATTCATAGAGATACTATGTGTTGTGCTTGACTCCAAGACAGTCAACAACAACAACAACACAGCCAAAAAGAAAAGTAAGCACAGAAAACAAATAAAACATAAAAGAAACAAAATAGTTAACAGTATGTCTTAGAGATAGATTTACATGAACATAACTACATATCCCCTTCTTTTACTTGTTTTTATGTTCTAATCATGTTGTTGTTGGAGGTGCTGTCAAGTCAAGTATGACCCATAGCGACCCTATAAACAGAACTGAATGCTGTTGTATAAAATTGCTTTTCTCTCTCTCTTTTTTTATTTATTTTAAGTTGTTTTATAAAAATGCCTCATATACTTCGGGCATGTTGCTATTTCTTGGAGAGGGAAATAATGGTCAGAAAAGAAGAGAGCTGGGGAGGGAGAGGAAAACCCTTGACCCTTGGATTGACACAGTGACTGCAGCAATGGCCTCTAACGTGTCAGGAAGTGTGAAGATGGCACAGGATAGACGACACAGTGACAGAGGCCCTGTTCAGATCTAACCATGTGATATGCCATATTGTGCTACTTGTTTCATTTATTTTATTTCTTTTCACTTTGTTAAAATGTGAGACATATAAATGCCAACATTTTTGTTTGTTTTGTTCCTTTCTCTCTAGCAAGTGTCCTAGGTTTCTGTGACATAGAAGTTGTAAGAATGAATGAATGTACTATGCGGAGTTTCACTGTAGGACAGGCTTTTAACACAAACCATCAGGAACCAGAAAAGTGGAAAAAGTCCAAAACAACCATGTATAGTTTTCTTGATTTTCTAGTCAACAGAACAAAAGCCCAAGTCAGGATTGCCTCTCAGCTTAGGGATTTTCTCCCCACAAGCACTCGCCACAGAGCAGCCTGAACATCTGGGTTTCTGAGACTGTAGATGAGAGGATTCAGCATGGGATTGATGACAGTGTTGAAAACCCCCACGCCTTTATCTTTATCTGAAGCATCAATCGATCCCAAGCGCATGTAGTTGAAGATACCTGTCCCATAGAAGAGGCAGACTACAGTGAGGTGGGAGCCACATGTAGAGAAAGCCTTCTTCCTGCCCTCCACTGAACGGATTCGTAGAACTGCAGCTGCTACATGGGTGTAGGAGGTGATGATGAGAACCACCGGGGTACCTGCTAGTATAGAAGCAGCAACAAAGAGCACCAGCTCATTGACTTGGGTGCTAGAGCACGAGATCTGGAAGAGCTGTGGGAGGTCACAGTAGAAATGATTGACAACATTAGGACCACAGAAGTTGAGAGTAGATAGGGCGATAGTGTGGATCAGGGCATTAATGAAGGCACAAGTCCAAGACACAGACACCAGTGCCCTCTGGACTTCCTGACTCATGCGGGTGCTGTAGGTGAGGGGTCGACAGATGGCAAGGAAGCGATCATAGGCCATAACTGTCAATAGAAAGCAGTCATTTCCAGCCAGAAAGTGGAAGAAGAAGAGTTGTGTGAGGCAGGCATCATAAGAAATTGTACGCGTGTGAGACAGGAGACGATCTAACATTGGAGGGACAGTGACTGTGATGCACCCAACATCTAACACGGACAGGTTCCCCAGGAAGAAGTACATAGGGGTGTGGAGTTTGGGTTCCACCAAGATGGCTGCCAGGATGCTGAGGTTGCCCCCAATTGTGAACATGTAGGCAAAGAGAAAAAGTACAAAGACCACAGGCTGCAGCTCTTCTGAGTCTACGAGGCCCAAAAGGACGAACTCAGTAAGAACTGTTCTGTTTATCCCAGCGTCTGCTTCCATATGTGCCTGTGAGAAAACGTCCCATAGGAAAGTTGTCAGATAATGTATTCAACATACATATTTTGAAGCCTCTACATGCTAAGTTTCATGATAGTAAATTCACAGTTCTCCAGGCAAACACTTTTCACTCTGCAGGTCACACCTCTTCATTGACCTCTTCTATTAACTCTTACTTCTGCCCTTCTCTCAAAGGAGATGCCAATGTCACTAAGCTATATCCCTTTCTCTTGGACTTGACTGGAATTTATAAGCTACCTGGGGGGGGGGCGGGTAGAGAAATCTTTCTCTTTGTCTAAAGCAAGATTAATATACAGTGTCTACATTTATACCCTGTAGTTAACCCTATACAAAATAGAGATTTCAAAATAGAAAAAAAAAATCCCCCAAAGACTTAAATCTTAAATTTAAGGCTTCTAAAAATAGCTGAGAGGAAGGGAAGGTACACAAAACTCAGAATTTGTACTTATAATATTTCTCTGAGCTAATAGAATTAGTTAGGGACTTCTCCAAAGTACTGAAGAGCAATGGTGTCTCTCTGGAGACTAAGGTGCATTTGATACAGGCCATGGTCTTTGCAATCACTTGTTATGCATCAGACAGTTGGACAATGACTAAAGAGGATAGAAGGAGAATTGATGTCTTTGAGATGTGGTGCTGGAGAAGAGTATTGAGAGTACCATGGACTGCTAGGAAAACAAACAGATTCGTCCTAGAAAGGGTTAAACCAGGTGGCTCCTTGGAGGCAAGGATGCTGAGGCTCCGTCTAACATACTTTGGACATGTTGTGAGGAGAGACCGGTCCTTGGAGAAGGACATCATACTTGGGACGGTGGAGGGACAGCACAGGAGAGGAAGGCCCTCTATGAGGTGGATTGATTCAGTGGCTGGGATAATCAGGATGGGAGTGTCAGAGACAGTGCGATTGGCACAGGACAGAGCAGAGTTTAGGGCTGTTGTACATAGGGTCGCTATGAGTCACAAGCGACTCGATGGCACATAACAACAAAACAACAACAATAGAATTAGTCTAAAGAAATTCAGAATTCTTGTTCAATGACTTTCCAACAAATTTCCAGTGTTTCGGTTGCTAATCCTGTTAGCACATTGGATTTTTAATTGCCACTTAGTAATTATTCCATCTCTCCATAATGTCTGCAATGTTGTTGTGATTGCACTGGCGTGGAACACGACTTATAGAGACCCTATGAACAAAAGGCCTGAAGCCTTTCTATCACTATCGACATGTTTCAAAGTTCATAGACTTTCCAGAGGCATATTGTTTAGGAAGTGGATGTCCATACTCAAAAATAAAATTTATAAGCATGTCCTGTGTTTTGACTATGGTTAGCTGTAGTTAGGTTTCTGCATTAGATAGCCTTAGCTTTAAGTATGGCCCTTAAGTCAAGCATTATAAACCCACCAAGGCTCTAATAAAAATACTTAGAAAGTCAGATTGAACTTAATCTTTCAGACTTTACATCAAGCTCTGTGGGTTGTTCCCCCCCCCCAATCCATGTCACTATATAGTTCATAATATAAGCATAGCTACCATTGTTAAGGCGCTGTTGAGGTGAACCTCACTCAGAATGGAACACTGTTGGAGCCCATTGTTGTAGCCACTGTGTCATGGTAAGAGTTCAGTCACTAGTTATGTTATTCATTCATAGCAATATTATTCTTTTGCACAAAATAGGGTGGTAAGCACTTGTCCAGTAAGATAACTCTCCAGAGAGAAAGAATATGAGTGTTTGAGTAGTCAGTAAAATTCAGGACAAAAGCAATTATGAAGGTCCCAGAACTGTTGTCATACATATAATGCCTAATCATATATTCCTTTTAAACAGTTCTTTCCTTCATCTGTTCCAATGCAGTGTTTATTATCTATCCACTCATCTCCTATTTTCCTCCCAACCTCACATGTCAGTCCTGCTTTTTAACAGTACTATCATAGTTTTAAAAAAATCATTAAAAATATAACTAAACCACCAAACAAAACTTAAAAAAGAGATCCCAGAAGTCAGATGCTATAGTAGTTTGGTAATATCAGTTGTTAGTATTGTGTACCATTGAGCAGAAATCAATTTATAGTTGACCCTCCAGCAGGTTTTCAAAAGTTGTAAATCTCACAGGAGGAGACTGTCATCTTTTCTTTGGTGAAGAGGGTTGGTGGACTTGAACCACCTACCTCAGGGTTGGCAATGCAACTTCTTACCACTAGGCCAACCGAACTCCATGTGATTCAAATATGTTAAGGAATATGGTTTATAAAAATTTCCTGTTTCTCAAGATGGAAATCAAGTATATAGGTTTAAGGCATGACCTTCTTTGCTTTCAGTTTAAATTTGGAAAGCAGACGAGAGAGTGTAGTATGAGAAGTCACTAAGAAAGTTACCTTTGTAGTCTTTGGGTGAGACTATTCCTAAAGGTGGGACCTCTGGTGACTTAATTGTTAGGAATTGTGCCACCAACTCAAAGGTACACAGTTGTAAATCACCAGCTGATTTGGGAGATGCAGATAGGCAGTTTACTCCTATGCAATTTACTGTCTCTGAAAATCCCCTGGAGGGTCAACTATGGGTTGGTTCCAACCCAGTGGTACACAACAGAAACAATACACCTAAAGGTGGGAAGATCATCAGCAGTTCCACAACCTTGATCTTCTGCAACAAGTGTTTCAAGTCCTCCTTACTTTCAGCATGGTTGTGTTATCTGCATGATATGCGTTATTGATGAATCTTCCTCCAATCTTTGATGCCATGTTCTTTTTCATAGATTTCAACTTCTTGAAAAATTTTCACAGCATACAGATTGAATAGTTATGGAGAAAGGCTACCCTGACACATCCCTTTCTTCATTTTAAACCATGTAGTGTTCCCTTGTTCTGTTCAGACCACAGTCTCTTGGTCCAGGTAGAGGTTTTACATGGGCACAATTAATTGTTCTGGGATTCCCATTCTTCTCAATGTTAGCTATAAACGTTATGATCCACACAGTCAAATGCCTTTGCATAGTCAATAAAGCATAAATACAGTCTTCTAACAGAAGCTGCTCTGGACGTGCTCACCAAGTTGTGCTAAGAAATCTGGAAAACAACCACTTGGCCAACTGATTGGAAGAGATCTGTATCTGTTCCCATTCCAAAGAAGGTTGACTCAACAGAGTGTGGAAACTATAGAACAATATCATTGATTTCACATGCAAGCAAGACTCTGCTGAATATTATCCCAAAATGACTAGAACAGCACATCAGCAGAAAACTGCCAGAAGTGCAGGCTGGGTTTAGAAGGGGTCGTGGTACTAGGGATATTGTAGCTGATGTTAGATGGATCTTAGCTGAAAGCAGGGAGTACCAGAGGAATGTCTGTGTTTCATTAATCATGCAAAGGCATTTGACTGTGTGGATCATAACAAACTGTGGTTGAGTCTGAGAAGAATTGGAATCCCAGAACACTTGATCGTTCTAATGCGAAACCTATACTTGGACCAGGATGCAGTCATCAAAACAGAGCAAAGAACCACTGCATGGTTCAACATTGGGAAGGGAGTACACCAGGGATGTGTCCTATCTCCATACCTTTTCAAACTATATGCAGAACAGATTATCCGGGAGGCTGGGCTCTATGAGGAGAAGTGTGGTGTCAGGATTGATGGACAATCCATCAACAATCTGCGTTATGCAGATGACACAACCCTGCTTGCTGAAACTGAGGAGGACCTGAAGCACTTGCTGCAGAGGATCAAGGACAGCAGTCTTCAATATGGATTGAGGCTCAATATCAAGAGGACAAAGATTCTCACCACTGGACCAATTGGCAGCATCAGGATGGATGGTGAAGAGATTGAGATTGTTCACAGCTTTAGTTTGCTTGGCTCCACAGTCAACACTTTGGCACCAGCATCCAGGAAATTAAAAGACATATTGTGATGGGAAAGTCTGCTGTTAGGGACCTCTCCAAAGTACTGAAGAACAATGGGGTCACTCTGGAGACTAAGGTGCATCTAATACAGATTATGGTCTTTGTAATCACTTGTTATGTGTTGAAGAGTTGGACAATGACTAGAGAAGATAGAAGGAGAATTGATGCCTTTGAGCTGTGGTGCTGGAGAAGAGTATTGCATGTACTATGGGCTGCTAAGAAAACAAACAGGTTCATCCTGGAAGGGATTAAACCGGGTGGCTCCTTGGAGGCAAGGATTCTGAGCATTCATCTGACATACTTTGGACATGTTGCAAGGAGGGACCAGTCCTTGGAGAGGGACATCATGCTTGGGAGGGACAGCACAGGAGGGGAAGACCCTCTATGCGGTGGATTGATTCAGTGATTGGGGTAACCAGGGTGGATGTATCGGAGACAGTGCGATTGGTACAGGATAGAGCAGGGTTTAGGGCTGTTGTACATAAGGTCGCTATGATTCGCAAGCAACTTGACGGCACATAACAACAACTATGTATTAGGGTAAATAAAATACATTCTTAGAAAATTCACTTGCTTATTTTTACTTTTAAAATATATATGGTTATTACACATTAGGGAGTTGCACTGTTAACTGAAAGGCCATACCTTTCTGGTAAGTAAAATCCACCACTGGCTCCATAGCGGAAAATGGATATCTTCTTTACAATTTATTGTCTCTGAAGACCTGCTGGAAGCTCGGCTGTGAGTTGGTTGTGAGTCAAAAGCAATGAGAGTTGTTTTTGGCTTTTTTTTTTAAATGACTCACATTATACCTTGCAATTTCAGATAGCACTGATACTAAGCACATTCAAATGAAATAGTCCATGGATGCTTGGAATTCTTAAAAATGAAAATCATTAATAATGGACCTGAGTAGGTATTTGAAGATACATTTCAAGAATATCTTCCACAAATAAAGACTTGTTTCTACAATTTGAAAGGCATTGGATACCCAATAATCACATATACAGAGATCTATAATGAGGTACAGTCTAGAAAAGAAGTTATCATTAGGAATGCTACTAGACTGATTTATATGTTGCT